TTAGTGGTCATTAGAGCAAAACAGAACTGGTGGTAGACGCCTGTCAGGCGGTACTCAGCTTCACCCTAGGAGGTGACATCGGGGTGTGAGCCAGATGGGGCCGCTGAGGAAAGGCTGATGTTCACATTCGCCAGCATAGGTCCCCCGCACCCCCTTGAAGTCTGGCTTGAGGAAGACTGTTCTTATTGCAGTTGCTTCTCCTAACTTAGCTGTAGGTCCTATTTTAAAAATTCTCCACAGCAGACAATCCAGTTAATTTACTGGAGACTTAATTTGTAAGCTAACCAGGATTTCTTTGAGATTCTTACCTTGGATCAAACCTGAAAACTGTCCAGAACTAGGCATTACGCATGCAGAGACACATGGCCCTTTCCTGGCCCCTGCCTTCCGGGCTCAGCCGCGGAAGCTGGCCTCACTCCCTGTCGCAGACGCTGGCTGAGCCAGAGGCCGCGGCCGGCAACCCCCAGTTTGTGAGAAAGAAAGGGAGGTGCGTGAGGCCTTTGGGGAGGAATAATGAGTGCAGACCTCAGTGCCAGGGGCAAAGGGGTGAGGTCATGCAGGAAGGCCGTCACTGAGGGCTTCAAGTCAGGAATGCACTGTCTGGGGAGCTGTGCCGAATCAGGCTCTGTGAGTGGGACGAGGGCATGAAGTCATTTATTTAGCCAGCCGTGGGGCTCGGTTACCTGTTCGCTCACGTCCGTCCTGGAGAGCTCAATGTTAGCCCCCGACCTCCCAGTGGAGGAGGGGACGGAGAGGGCAGTACCGGGGGCCAGAGAGGCGCACCCCGGTGCACTCTGCACCAGCTGTCCCTGGTCCCCCCGACACCTGTCCTCGGTCCCGTGACACGCACACCAGAGCCGATGACCTCTTCTTCACCTCCCGAGCCCCCACGTGGGGTTCCAAGGACGTCTGACGGAGGCTGAGAGGCACAGACCCTCCCTCGCCCGCCGCGTCACAGTGGGCCCTGGCTGTGGAAACGCAGATGTGCTGGGGTGGGAAGGGTCAACCGTGTTGTTACCTTTAACACGTCAGTCAGCTTGACTGCGGCCTGCCAACGTGACATCATCAGAGGACACGCTGTGGTCACCTTTCACGGTGTGCTCACAGCTGAAAGGAGCCAGGGAGGGAGTGGTGACTCCCACGTCTAGTTGCCAAATCTAAACCTGAGCTGATGCTTCATATCTAAATACGTAGCCATATTTGTATCCACGGACATAGGGTTGTTGGAAAAGCGATGTGTTTTGTTTTTCAAGCAAAGAGGCCTCATGACTTTTCCGACAGCCCAACATGCACATCTCGTGTGCACGGTCGTGTATGCCACTGCTGCTCCAGGTCACGCACTGCAGAGAGACGCCGTCGAGCTCAGAGCCCAGCACTGGCACCCTCGGCGACCCCCGGCGCGAGTCACCAGGCCCAGCTCCAAAGGCCACATCTGCTCACAAGCTTACAGCCACATTTTCAGTCCTTTCCCTTTCGAGGACTCGGAAGCGGCCTGTTTGGCACCCACAGCGGAAGCCAGCGGCACGGGGCGGTCTCGGCCCAGCGAGGCGGCGTTCATAGGCCAGCCCTGTCGAGCACAGCTGAGCCGGAGCCCCGACACCGGAGGAGCGCCTGTGGACATTCTGGGGGTGTCCGCCCTGCGACCCCCCAGGACCCTGGCACTGAGGGTCTTTGCTCTGGGTGCAGAGAGGTCTACTTCCCTCGCCCAGTGTGATCCTGGGATCCACACAGGCAATGCCTCTGGCCCCAGGGACCCGGTTCAGGAATCCTGCAGTGCTGGGCTGGGGTGAGGCAGGGCGGGAGTGTCTACGTTGACTCTGGGCATGGGAGAAGCAGGCAGAGCCAGGACAGAGCCAGGCGCCCAGAGGCTGGGGGCCAGGTGGGTGGCTGTGAGTCCCATGGAATTGGGAAACTGACAGGCTCAAGACGCCCATTACTTTTCCTCCTAACCATGCTTCTACACGGCCCTCAAGGAAACCCGCTGCCTCGTATGAAACATCCCTCTGGGCCCCTGAGAGTCAGACAATAGAGCCACGAGCCACAGTTACAGGGGGTGGCAGGCGCAACCCACGGAGACCCCCACGTCACAGGCAGGGGCTGAGGGCCCCGGGCTCCCTCTGGGCAGGCCGGGGTCCAGGACTGCCCTCCTGTGGCGGGCCCAGTCCCACCTACCTGTCTGCTACGTAGCCGATGGCCACGGACCCGATAAAGAAGCCGACGTTCACCGCCGACTGAAACAGGTCCAGCATCCAGGAGTCGCCACACACCAGGTTAAACTGGCCGGTATAGCCGTGTGCCGGGCAGGGAGAGAAAAGCCGGTTAGAACCTGGCTGCACTCACCACTGCCCGGCCCGGGCCTCCCTGGCCTGCAGAGGCCGTGGCCTCGCGCTGCAGCAGCACACAGCCGTTTCCCTTCCTCGTGCTAGAATATGGGTGACTGGGTGTGCGGACAGGACACAGCTGCTGCCTGCGGAGACGGCGTCTCGTGGGGAGAGGGGCAGCGCAGCCGGCCAGGCGCTGGCCTCAAAGGCTGACCGCTCAGTGGCTCACTTGCCTCAGGACGGCCCTGGCCTGCCTGTGCCTGAGCTTCCTCGCCTGTAGGAGAGGAGGCGAGTCATGCTGGGGCCTTCTGAAGCTGGGCAGTGGTGGCTCTCCGGTCTCCGCAGCTCCTGCCCCCCGGGTCACCTGTGAGCTCTGGGTGCTGAGGAGCCTCCTTCCCTGCCCACACAGAATGTCTTCAGCAGTCTCCGACCTTAGGTGAGGCTGCAGCTCTCCCACCCGCGGGGGGTCATCTCCCATTTTGCGTCGCCCCTGATAAAGCAAGTGTCCAGCGTATTTTCTCTGTAGTGAGTGAAATGAGGCTTCACAACCAGAGGTTAATGCTGTGTTGCTGTCAATAAAATGGCAGAACCTAGCCTAAGCCCTGACCCAAACGGCTCTCCGTGCACCCGGGAGCAAGGGAAGGAGAGGGAACAGCCGCAGGAGTAAGTCCATGGTGTTGCAGGGAATCTTCCGGTGAGTGTCCATGTGTAGGATGGATGCTGGGGGAGGCTGGGGCTCCAGAGAAAGAGGCGGCTTGTGGAGCCCTTTCCGGCTCCATGTCCAGGAGTCTCGAGCACTTTCCCTCGCCTCTTGCCCTGGGACTTGCATCACCTGGAAGCAGATGCTGACCGCCTGCAGGGCCCCAGCCCGTCCACTCACTCCAGAGAAAAAAAGAGGCTGCAGTTTTGTTGGAAACTAGGATTTTATCAGATCCTTTGCGTCCAAAGAGCATGCCTGGCCTTGACTGGTTTCCTCCTTAAAAAGACTTCCTCCCGCGTCTCCCCGCTGCTTACCTCGGTCACGATGGACGAGCCCTGCGTGTGGTACTCCCAGCCCGCCCCGCAGGGGCCCAGCGGCAGGTGGCTCCGGTTGGCGGCCAGGCCGGCCAGCGGGTC